CATAGCTATGATTCACTGTAACCGAGAGACGGCCCTGAGCGGAACACTTCTCAACTGCAGTCTGCCATGCTATTTGCAAATTTCACCCTCTGCCAGAGATACTTTTTGACTCAAAACCAGAACAAACCAGGCCCTGTTTCAATTCACCAGGAAGGGAAGGCAGAGGGAACAGCATACACAAAGGCAAGAGGCTCTCCCAGTTTATGAAACAAGCAGTCCTCCAAGGGAAGCAGAACAAGGGCCTGGAAAGGCAGATGCCAACCAGGCTGAGCGCTTGGCACTCTGGCTGCACGGAGCCTCAGACATGCTCCCCAAGCACTTTACTCTGCATACAGTAAGAACTCAATTGATGCTTCTGGGTCTTCCTAAAGTACAGCAGCATCTGAAATGATGTGCACATTCACAGACCTTGTGCAACAAACCCAGACGTTGGTCCAGGCCCAGCGCAGCCTAGAATTCCCAGGGAGTCCTGTGGTCTTGTTGAATACACTGAGTGTGAGTGCCAACACCCATCCAGGCTGTGAATGAGGCAGAGTCTTTTTGGGGAGGAGACAGGGGCTCTCCTTTGAAGGGACAGAAACTGGTACATAGGTTCTATTCAACGTGACAGTGTTAAGTGCTATCAAATCGACTCTGACTCGTGGCGACCCTGTAACGTAGGGTGGTGGCAGGTCTGAACTGCCAACCTTGTGGTTCGCAGTCCAGTGCTGATCCTACAAGCACAACAACAACAACAACAGAAGTTGTTGTTACATGCCGTGGAGTTGGTTCCAATTCATAGTGACCCTGCATAGGATTTCCAAGGCTATAAATCTTTACAGGAGCAGAACGTCTCATCTTTTTTCAGCGGAATAGCTGGTAGTTTGAACTGCTAACTTTGAGGCTAGCAGCCCGACTCATAACCACTACGCTACCAGAAGTTGTTGTGTGCCGTGGAGTCGGTTCCGACTCATAGCGACCCTACACAGGGTTTCCGAGGCTGTAAATCTTTATGGGAGCAGACCGCCTCATTTTTCTCCCGCGGAGCGGCTGGTAATTTCAAACTGCTGACCTTGCGGCTCGCAGCCCAATTCATAACCACTAGGGACCTATATTAAGAATTGCTTTTATCTGCGTCTGCCTTGAGCACTGTGCTCTTCTAAGATCTGTCTGTATGGGCTCCAAGTGACAAAAGCAATCAGTGAGTAGATGTTAAGAGAGAGGAGCAATTGAAGATCGTCAATGTCACTGAAATGTACATGGAGAAACTACTGAATTGTATTTTTGCTCTATACATTCTCAACAACAAACTTAAAAACAAGAAAGGCTTCTTTTGATTGAGCACCCACCAGGTGCCAGATACTTTGCACACACTAGCTATGATGCAGACTTAATTACCCCCATTTTATAGACAGATGAATAAGTCCAAGGGGAGAACTTGGACTCCAATCCAGGTGAACCAGCTCCCAGCCTATGCTTCCCACAGAGGCCCCACCTACAATGTGGACCACCCACTTGCTTCTCCACCCCAAATGCAACTTCCAAAAGCCCACATGAGCAACTACCAGATGACCCAGGAATCACACTCCTGAGCATTTATCGCAGAGAAATGGAGAGTTATGTTCACACAAAAAGCTGTACAGGAATGTACACTGCAGCTTTGTTCAGAATGATCAGAACTTGGAAACTACCCAGACATCCTTCAACAGGTGAATGGTTAAACTGTGATCCATCCACACCACAGAACACGTTCCACAATCAAAAGGAACCAACTGATGGGTCTCCAGCTGTGCTGACTGCAAAAAAGTCAATCCCCAAAGGTTACGTGTTTTATGAATCCATTTCTATACAAAACATTCTTGAAATGACAAAGTTAATAGAAGTGGAGAACCGATTAGTGGTTGCCAGGGATCTGGTGTGGCACTCGCTGTAAGATAAGCACTGGACTGCTAACTGTAAGATGGACAGTTCAAATCCATGGGGAAATCTTCTACAAGACCGCTATGGGTCGGAACTCCACGGCTGTTAACTATGGGGGTTTGGGACAGGGAGATGGGAATGGGAGGGAAGT